TGAAGAATATTTGATATCGCTTATTATGCGTATTTTGCAGTCACCAAATCAAATCAGTTTTCGTCGTTGTTACGCTGAAATGTAATTAAACAACCTTAAAAAATTCCCCTAACATGGAAACCGGGTATTATAAAAAAAGACCATGGAAAGAAATTTACTCCATTTCTATATTATTTAGTTACATTTTCGTCATTTTAATAATATTAATTAATGAAAATATATTTGAAAAAATTGTCAAGAAATTTGCAAATCCTCACGTGATAAAAAACGATAATTGAGAGAGTTACGGTTCTTTATCTTATGATTTGAGGGTAATCCCAAAGTCTAATAAGCATACATGGTGAAAAACCAATATTTGAGACAAATTGCCATATTGACGCATTTCCAAAAATAATTCTAAATTCGTTTAAAAAATTGTCCCATGAAAATTATAAAACTGCAGCAGGTTTCGAAAAAAATACAAATATTCGTAAAAGTGGTACCCCCTCTGCCCAAATCCGTAAGAAACTTCATCCATCAGCTAAGGCTAGCCGTTATGACACATCGAGTTTAGGATGAATTCGATGTCCTTATCGAAATGCACCATATGATGCAGAATGCTCATACTGAAGGACTCTAATCAACGTATAAAAAACTTGTACATTTACTGATCTCGACAGTATATGTAATGGCTTCGTGAAAAGAGAAATAAGTTTCTATGCAGAAAAAAAAATGTTCTGTATAAAAACATTGTATATACTCTTTGTAAAAAGAGATCTAATTTATGCAGTAATATGTTACTATACATAACTTGAAGTTACATCAGTGAACGTCATCATCCGATCTAGCTTCTCGCCTTATGGACAAGGTCAAGTTTGCCCCTTCCCCACCATGGAATGAAGAAGAGTTTTCATCAGAACCTTTTTTGTCCCCTCGGGAGCAGATCGACGGAAGAGACGGACCTTAAGAGACGGAAGGCGCAAATCTAATTTTATTTCTGTCAAATATGGAGGAAGTTCTTAAAATGTGGAAGCTAGAAGGATTTAAGCTTTTTCTGAAGTCGCATTATATTATAATCATAATAATAAAAGTTGAGTTTTACAAATATTACCCCTAGTAAATACAAAAGTAATCTAGTACTTTTTAAGCTATAACTAGCTCTTTTTTTCTACTAAACACAGCGCTTAATGGCTAGTAAAAATGAAGAGATGTTTGTTCCCCAAATTCTAAAGTACAGTTCAAGTCAAGGCCAATCAGCACACTGGTGTACTTTATTGTATGTGTTAGTCTTTTACTTCCGCATTCTTGGATTTTTGCGGATCGAATGGTAAGCAAAAATTGAACCATGATGGGAAGAATATCTTAAAATCGTAATTAGGTTACAAAACTCCAAAATAAACGTTGAAATAGGTAGTGAGCACAGAAATTAGAAGCAAAAATTCGTTTTTATAATTAATATTTGCGAAATTAAAACAAAAAAAGTCCTTAGAAAGAACTACGGGTATAAATGGGGATTAAATTTTTAAAACATTTATTTTTTTAAACATTTATTTATTTTTTAAACATTATTAAATATTGTATTTTTAACATTTATTTATTTTTTAAAACATTTTTACCTTACCTAAATTTGAAAACATTCAAATTTAGGTAAGGTAAATAAAAATAAATTTGCATAATAACAGGCCATGTTTTATTTAAAAACACAATCACTAATTAGATTGGTTAAATCTTTTTTGGTTATTTTTAGGCACCTTCCAAATTTTGACATTGAGCTATTAAATAGATTAATTTAAAGTTAAATTTTATAAAAAGTAACAAAAGTGTATTTGAAAAAATACTACAGAAAACAATTCCTATAAAAGTTTCAAATATAAACATCAAAATAGTAACGGATAATTATTTTTTGTAGCTGAAGCTTAAAATTAGGACCAGTGGCATTAAGGATTATTTATTACATACAGAAAAAATTCAAAACCTTCTCTTTAGAAATGCATCATTAAGTGTACAAAAAATTATTTTGCAAAGCAGAAGATGAAAATATAAGTATCTTTACTTCCACGAGTGCTTTCTTCTGTAATTTGGTTTTCATGAAGAGCATTTTTGAGACTTGTTTGTATCTTGAGTGTCAAACACATTCAAAACTGAAAAAAGTAACAGGTATGGGATTCATGAACTGGCACAAGAAATGCTTTAAAATTTTTACGGTTTGGAGCTTTGTTAAGTTCTTATCTTTTTTATGAGGTATATAAAGGAGCTCACGAATCACAAGGTATTAAAAAAACTGCGCAACGTGTTGTTTAATCCTTAAGCGCCGTTGTGCCTTTCTTAAATTCCTTCTTGTTTTCTCTAACTTTCTTACATCTCGGTGAGCATCAGAGCATGCTGCAATGAATAAAAAAGTAATTCTGTGGAAAAGTTACATTATTCACACTGTTACATGCTGTGAAGTACATTAAATTCGTAGAGCAGCGGAAACTTGATAATAAAAGTAGCTTCAAAGTGAGTCTTCGAAATTTTAGAGCGCGTATTTAAAATGAGCTTAACAGACCCAGAAAAATGCGCTATGTGCTATGTGCTAATAAAACAAGATGAACATATAAAAAAGCGCAACACACCTGAACTGGTTTGTTTAATTACCGTTATGAGTTACGTATGGTCTAATTAAAGTAAAATACTGTTGTTGTTTTTTTTCTAACTCACCTACTGCTTCTAAGTTACACATGTATTTGTAACTATTATTGGTAAATATAATTTATTATAAGGTGCTCGATTAATTTTAGAGTACATTTTCTCATTAATATGCTTACTCTATTAATTCTTAAACAATGCAGATAAACAAGGCACGTTATTACTTTCATTTACAACATACACTAATATCTATAAAAATATGCGATAATTTTCTATGAATAATTTAACAGAACGTTTCAGCTTGAGATTTATATTCCAAATGTTTGCTCTGATCATTCGTTGAATGCTCTAGTATCTTGCATGATATTTTAAGATATAACATACATATGTAAGCTCAGGAGCCCCAAAAAGGACAATATAATTGCTAATAAAAGGACAAAATAATTATTATCTTCTGCCTAATGCATGACAGTTAGTTTAAGTTGAACTGGTAAAAACCAGACTTTTATGTATTGACATTTTTTAAGTGAAATATTAGACATTTATATGAAATGATTATCCTTTACCTTGCGTAACTTAGCAAAGCTTTTAATAGTGCACATGCATTTCAGGTATAATTTTACATTAGCATTTTTTGGGGATACTCATTAATAGCATCTGCTATTTTTAATATGCAATATTCTTAAAATTTTAAACACTATAAAATTTAAAAACATATAAATTTACACACTATAAATAAAATTTAAATTTACACCACATAATTATATTTATACACTGTATAATTCAATGGCGTAAAGAGATATACAGATTTTCCTTTCAGTTCATTTCAGCAATTATTAAATATTCAAAATACAAAACAATGAAGGCCAGTTAGGTGGCCCACTGGCCATATCCAGCCCTTCAGGTACTTGTGGCTAGTCTAAGAAAATTCATTTTTGATTGCAGATTTTAACAATGTTAGCACATTTTCAGGTGTTTAACCAGCTAAAAATTATCTTAAGGATCAATAATATCATCAACACCATCTAAATACGAGTATCAGCAATTTTCACTGGAAACTGAGTGGGACATTTTATCTTCCGGTGAACCTCCATAGTTTTTTCATCACTTGTGTTATATTTTGGACACTTTGTGTATTTATATATGAAGATTTAAAAACATAAATATTATTTTTTCTATATTTTATCAGGGTGTTGTTTTATCCGTAAAATTGTTTGTCAAGATTTTTTTGAAGAACTGTCTGAAATAAACTCTGGCCATTATTACAAGACGTATCCCTAAGTATTACTGCGTATTAAATATTGTGCATATCATGCCTTCAAGAATTTTAAGTTTCCTATATTACTCGAAGATCATGTTAGCTACATAGTTCGTCTAAGACAACATGTTAAATATATTAATCTGTCTGATATAACATATTAACCTCCTAACAGATGACTGACAGGGAAGTGGAAATCATTGATTTCTCCTCCTAAAATTTTGTTTGTTGCATCATAAAACAATTAATAAAATATAAATTCTTAATAAAATATAAATGACATGAAGTTTTTAATAAAAATGGAACAATGTATTGCCCTTCGAAAATGGAGAAAGATATTTTAAAGCATTTGGAGACAAAAATCTTGTTTGTGAAAGACGAAACAAATACATCAGTTTTAATATCTTATGCATTTCTTTCGTAAATTGGGACTTAAGCCCTTTTCGTAAACTTAAAGCGACTTACGTCTGTATTTAAATTTGTATCTGAAGTACAGAAACTTGAAAAGGTTCTAAAAGACCCTTTTTTTAACTCACAAAGATGAACAGAAGTGCTGACAAAATCCGTCAACACTGGCGTGAAAACTCAAAGTAAAAGGAATTGAAAGATAAAACTAAATTTAAATAGCTAGGCAGCAAAGGCTACACATAGCGGTTTCATCGCGAAGTTGGTTCAGAATTCACCGACACGATTTTAACTATCGGCAAGTACCAGAGGAGAACTGAAGACAGGAGCTCATATCTCGAATAACAAAACTAGTAGCGTGGCCTTCAAATGACAAAACATGCTCTGACTTAACTCTCACTTAAATACACATGAGCTAAATTTGCATTCTGGACGAAAAATGGAAAGAGAGAAGTGACAGTAAGGATTCCAAACATAAAATAACTGTTATGTAAATTAAATAAACCTCACAAGTGTTTGAAGCATTTTATTTGGGAAAGATGAAAGAAATGTTTTAAAGCAATTTATAGAAAGTAATTTACGGCAAAACAATGAGTTTATAACAATCATGTATTATTCTGCAAAATCTAAATATTGCATATATTACTAAAGTACCGATAACTTATGAAAATCAATTTAAATATTATAATCAGTACACTTTTAAATAGGTCACTATTAGTTAGAATCGTGTTCATTTCAGCTCATAAGAATTCTTAGACTTACCAAACAGGCGAATAATTCCTTCAGTAGATCCCAATGAGTTCTTAGCGATGCATTTATAACTGCCAAAATCTTCCGCCTGAATGTCTGCTATGATGAGCTTCATGCTCACTTGGTATACGTTATCCGAAATGCTGACCGAATATTTCTCACCGGGCTGTAGAATATTGCAGCTGTCTGCTTTCGTCCAGTAATTGATAGACATAGGGAAAGCCTCAGTGTAACAATCCAAGGATACAGTCTCACCGACCGATGCAAAGATCAACTGATGAGGAATCCAAATCATAGGAGGAACTAGGAAAGCATAAGAGATGCGTTATTAATTTTATAACTATTCAATATATTTCCAAGTTAACGAATTTAGGATTCACGACAGCCCTCTAACCGCATTCCGGTAAAGTTTATAACTTTTATATGGAAAGTTTATAATTGCAGAACCTTAAAACACAGAAATTTCTTTCATAAACAAATGCTTAATAGTATTATCCTTTATAATTATAATAACGTGTTTTTATAGCTTAAAATGGTATTTAAATCATATTGGCTTTTGTATATACGTAACTGTACAGCCGGTCACACGATTTAAAAATTTATATGGAAAACTTTATATTAAATATAAAAAGCTGCATTGAAAACTTATTAATTCCAGAAACATTTACTACAAAAATGTCATAATACAAAAATAATCTATATTAAGTTTTTTGGATTACACTTAAACTAACCTTTAAATGAGCATATAGGAATTAAATCCAGATCAAAGTTTCAGATTTCTAACAGCTGTGATCTAAAACAACGATCTGAAAAAAAAATCTAAATAGCTTCTATTTCTTCTCTTTTTTTCCGTTTTTGGTAATGTTTTGGTACCTATTTGGTAGAATGGAGGAAAATCTTTTGTATTAAATACGTCTAAGAAATCGGGTTTTAAGAAATCGAAAATCATTTTCTAGTTTTAAGAGTTCATATAGAATTATGACCATCATTGAGAGTCAATAAAGCAAATCAGGGGATAGTCAGGTTTTTCGCTGTGAGCTATCAGCTTTTATTACCGTATGTTTTCTCCATCATAAAACTGAAGCAACAACCTGTGTTAGGTGTAGAGTTTTAGCATCGAGTTTCTATGTTAAAAATCTACGCCTAACACAGGCTGTTGCTTCACTTTTACAATTTATTTGAGGCGTGTTTCTCTTCTGTCTTGATTTTCTCCCTCTTTTTCGCACGCCTTCGTGGTGTAACTGGAGGCACACTTGGTGCGTATTCGGGAGGTTCAGAGTTCGAATCCCAGCGAGGACACTGCTCAATTTCATGTTTTAAGCACACAAAAACCTAACGATACTTTACTGGCGCTCGAACTAAAAGATGATGGACCACCACCACCAGGATTTGGCAGGTACGGCTCAGTTTCGCCCCAAATTTTGATGGAGCGAGAACCACCAGCTTCTTGAGAGGGCTTTCGGCTCACCTCCTACTCTTCAATTCTGATTTTGAAATTATGTAAGTTTCCAGATGAAGGTTATAAGGATTCAGCGTCTGTAATACAATCAGAACGAGAGAAAAACTTTGCAGGGTATGATGCGTGTGAGCTATGGAGAGTTAGATCAAGAGTTAGATCGACTTATCTAATGCATGAGCAGAGCTTCATAAGGCAAACATGACATTAAACTATATTTTCTTACAATCTATAACTCATAGATTGCGGTTTAGATTTCATATAAGTCACCAATGATGTAACAGTCCATTTTAACCAGGATCATACATTTTGAAAATTCATGTACTAGATTATTCACATATGATCCGGACTGCTGGATGTGTCTCACTATGATTCTTCCAACACATCCAGTCACACTGGCTATTCTAACACCATGAATTACTAATTAATTAATTACTATTAATTATTAGAATGCAATATTTTTCAGGTACAGACGCTCTACCATATCTTCATTACACTCACATCAGATTCCTAATATTTCGTTCTATTATCATAGCTATTCAAAAGCGGATATGCATCCAAGAAAGCATTTTTGAACTGCAGATACGACAGATTCAAAAACGTTGGGGGAGATAGATTGTAATACCGAAAGATTATCTGGGAATAATTACATCCTTTGCAAATATGCAAATATTCCACGATTTCAACCATACCATTAGTGTGGGTCATATGTGGTTTCCAGTCTGCTAGCTACTGAAAAAACTGCTTTGTGCAAAATATTTAATAAAAACATAAGAAATTATCATAGACTGTAATTTAGATAATGTTCGCAATATTATAAACTTCGGTCCAATGTATGTAAGCAATTAACACAAATGAAACTCATTCTGATGATGGAAATCTTCAGAATGACTTTCTCATATCAGACCTTTGGCATTTAACGATAGATTCACTTTTATTTAGCATTTGTTGAAAATTAAATAAGTAAGTTAAATAAAATACATTGAACGACTTGCGTTAAATAATACTATAACATCGTTTATTAATAATTGTTGTTAACTTTTCAAATAATCTTCTCCTTCCTCGATTGTTTGCTGATATCTTTATATGTCGCAACTGTTACTTTTCCAGCAGTTCTACATATGTAATGAGAATGTTATATTTAACATTTCAGAAACTAATTTACTTCCTCATTAAACTTTTTTAATATTTAGGTGAAAAATCCTTTTCTTTTAGTAGTTAAAATTTTAGATTGTGCTTAAGCTTATATTTTGTAAAATAGTAGTATTGTTTGAAATATGCATGTAAGTAACTTATTATAATACAAGCATTTTAAAATGTTGCCTGTCTTGAGTTGTCTAATCAGTATTAAAAATGGATAAATAAAAAAAGTTTCCAGTTTTTCATTACTATGCAAAAGCTGCTGTAATCGTGTATTCCTTCAATACCGAACTGCCTAACACTAAACAAAACCAATGTGCTTTTTGTGGAGGTGGTGGTGAAGAGATACAACGAGGGACTTTACCTATAATGGTAAATGAATCAAACAGAAACAACCATCAAGATACCGAATTTTGATATTTGAAGTTAACTGAAGTGTAAACTAACATGAAGTTATACAACTGTTTCATCAATTCTCTGTTTTAAATAAAAATAATATCCATTCGTTTCTCCTAAATAAACATAAAAACTTTAGGAATAAAATTAAAAATTTTAAAATTAAATTAAAAATTAAATAAAACTCTATTCATTAGACACATTTTTGTCTTTGATGTAGCAAACAATCGATAAATTTCACGCCGAAAATACCCAAAGAAGCTATTTAAATGAACAGAAAGTATTTGACTACGTAAACGAAAGAATAAAGAGGAACCTCGACCTGAGATTGAAATGCATCTAAGACATTAAAAGAGCTATTTAAATAGTTTTCTTTATATTCGTTGCTGCATTTCAAAGCTGAATGGTTGTATTTTCTTTGAGACAAAAGCGGATTTTATTGCTCTTGAACAAGAGCTTTCGCAGAAATTTCGTCGGAAGTAGCAGGTCGCAAGTATGTTTCTTTATAAAGGTACATACAATGAATATCATTGAATAGAGATCAGATAATAGGTATGAGAAAAGTAAATCCTCTACATCTTTAAAATAAGGTAAAATTTATGCATTATATTGGAGCTAGTTTTAAATTTTGAGCTAATCTAACAGATATTTTTTTCTTGGCTTACAGTGCTAATTTCAAAGATTTTAAATTGGCATGACGCAATAAATTTATATTCCATCTTTTACATGTAGATATTTTCCTCGAAAGATTCAAAAACGCATTTAAGACTGCAGTTATCATTCCGAAACCTGTAATAGTTTTGAAAAAATGTATAAAAATCTTCACTATAAAATTGTACAAATCAGTAATCTGTGTATTTTATTGATTAATGAAGCAAAACCATAAATCTTGCATGTCATAAATCATGTACAAAATTTAGGACCACGAAAATGCTCTTGTAATACACAACCGTTAAGAAACAGAAAACATGAATGTTGATTAAAAATTTCAAACCTTTAAAGGCTTTAAAGGATAATTTCAAACACGTTGTCAAGTGAAAGAAAATTATCAGGTCATCAATAAATTTCATATAAGTTCATTACGAAGTTAAGAGTAATACTTAAAAGTTAGATACATCTATAAATTTAGTACAAGTTCATTATTCTTTATAAGGCAAATAAGGCGAAAAATTGGAAAATACTTCTTCATGTGTCATGGCACAGTTGCCAAGACATCTGGTTTTCAGGATTCTGAAATGTGAGGCAAATTCATGAAATGTTTAATAAATATACGAATACTAATAAGAAAGTAACAAATTATTTAAATTATGATATTAATTACTTAAAAAAAGAGACTTTTTATTATGGACTGCTTTTGACCCTTTACCAAAACATTTAGTATATAAATTTTTATTTTTACATTTACAAATTTCCTGAAAAAAATTATCAGGCTTCGCAAATACCAAGATTAGTTTTATCAAATATTTTATCTGGCTTTTGAAATCATTCCTAAATCTTTGAAATGAAAAATATTTGAATAATAATAGAAAATTAATAGACATCAGAAACGCACTGAAAAGTTAAAATTATAAAATTTCAGTATTATGTTCCCATTGATTAAGAAAAAGAATGTGACATATTTGCTTTAAGCAACAGATTATGAGAGATTTTTTATTTGAAAAAAAAAAAAAAAAAGAGAAAATTCTTTTCTAAGCGCTGAGCCTTTTACTTAATATCAATGCCAATCTAAACCTAAATTTTTCCTAATTTCAAGACTACGAAAGAATAAACGAAATGAGATTGCTACAAATATTTATTATAAATTAGTAACAAATTCTAAAGTACCTATTTCTAGTTAAGATTTTTTCTAATAAACCATAAAAGAGAATGGTCTTAATCACTCCCCTTCTATTATTATTTTCTAAATAAGTTAATCTTATTAGTTCTGATTTTAAACGATTGAGTTCATTAGCCATCTTGTGGAAGAAACTTTGAAAACGCGAAATACATAACGGTAAAAAGAAGACATTTTTCTTAAGGGGGGGACTGACTGACTTAGCATGTAAGGGTTAAAAGAATAGAAAAGGATTTATGGTAAACAGCAGTGCTGATAGCAGATTCATTGCGGATTATAAGAACAATCGAGGAAAAGAAGGGATTCCGTTTCCAAAAGTAAATTGGATGGGTGGATCAGTCGAATTATAACAGATAAAATTTGGGATATATGTTTTTTATTATCATCAAGCAGCATGAATGGGTCGTCTACGTAGCGAAGCTGGAAATAGTTGTAAATTTTATCATAATTGGGTCTTTGAATTTTGTTTATCGTAATTTGACTTCGGATCTGAGAAACAAATCGGTAAAGCTTCTTCCATTGGTGAATTCGATGTTCTTAATGCGTTTCACATACACAAAGATTTATCTTGATTAGGTAAGGACTTTAAAGTTCCAATTCAGTTATTCCTTGCACTTTTAAATTATTATTAACTTATTTTTTTATTTTTGTTGTTTTTTTGCGAATGGATGGCACTACCTTCTGGTTCGTTTTGCTCCTTTTGGGTGTAAATACAACCGTGGCTTTCCTTAGCTTTAGATCTGTACATATGTTCCATCGAAATCTACAGAACATTGATTCAAATCTACGACAAAAATAATGCTTTGCTTATCTTATGTAGTACTGGGCGTTTTAGTGAAATTATCATCACAATGATAAAGACGAATTTTCTTTCCATTAACCCAAGTTAAGTACGTTTATAAACTCTCATTCTGATTGTTTGGATGAGAACTTTGTCCAATTTTGGAAAAAAATAAAATGTCAACGTTGATCTTCCTTTTTTTTTTTCCATCTCAGGCTAATTGAAGAAAGCTAAATATCGTTATGGTTACCCCTTATAACTTTAGAACAAATCGTAGTTTTGGCATTGCATTTCCTAGCAACTAGAGATGAGCTGTATCACTTAAATTTGGGGGGGGGGATCCTGAAGTTATTTGTTTGTAAGTGATTCATACGGGCACTAAGTTTATTTGATTTTTCTTTCAATTATGAAATTGAATCAGCTTTGAAATAAAACTGTATTCAGAATTTATTTGAAACTTAATATGCGTCCTAGGGCACGGAGTTGTAAAAAGGATAGACAACAATATTTCTTAAAATGAGGTAAATCATTTCTACTTATCTGGAATGATTTAGAATTTAATTTTGAATACTTCTGTATAAATTTCTCAAATCTGAAACTACTTTATTCACTAGTAACTGATAAATTGATATGAAGGTTATTTGTGGTTGTCAGATTGTTTCACTTTATTTTATTATATTCTGTCTCGAAATACTATATATAAAACAATTTTAAGTTACTCACAGAGAACATGAAGCATCACATTCCTTGTTACAGGTTGATAATTTGGTGCTTGATAAAAAGAAGATGTTGCTGTGCATACGTACATACCCATATGTAGTCGGCTTACTTTGACTATACTCAGGTCTTCCCCTTTAAAAGAATAAAAGATAAATTAATCATTGCATGAAAAATTCATTAAATCAAAAAAGAATGAATTGTCCCATTCAGTTATTTAAGAGTATGCATATAGACTAGATTAGATTGAATTACTGCAACAAACTGATAAAATAATGGGTACACAATTTGCTGAAAGGGATATTTCCTTTTACGGACATTTTTCTGAGGAAACTGCTTCCATTACATGCTTAATACAGAAAAGACTGCGGAAAGACACCATGCATTCAGATCTTTTGGGTTTTGAGAAAGGAATTCAAGGAATATCACACCTTATCTATTACATATGGAATTTTATGTTCGCGCAGCGTTTTTTGTCTAGGAATTTTGGAGCAACACTCATTTTCTAGGTAATATTGCTTTGAAAAATTCTTTGCGATTTTATTTTAACGAAATTTAATATGAAGTTTGTGTTTATTTTGGATATGTTTTGAATTTAATTTATATATACATATATGTAAGATAAAAAATATTTGAATCAAAATTATAATGTAAACTAACGGTAAACTCTTTAATTCTCCCTCTCGGTTCTAAAAATCGTAATAACTTCTCTCGATTACTCCATTTCTAGATCATTCATTTTTACACGGCGTGCGCAGCTCTGATGGCATAATAATTGGAAACTGAAACTTTTCAACTCAAATCAAAACTTTTCTCTTCATGTGTTTCCATATAGGTAACTACGCACTTTAGCTTCTGTCTCTGCTCTGCTTGGACGTAATTTCGCTATGCTGCTTCCTATTGCAACAATATCAAAAATGTAAATGTTCTTGAATAGGCAACAGCTCGAGTGCCAAGTGAAATGTGGCCACAAATATCAATTGCAAATAAAAATGGATTTAAAAAAGCCTCGACTGACCAGTTTTTTACATACTACCAAGTCAACACTTTAGCATACTACGTAATCAGAATTCTTCAACATGGGTCTACGTACGCAACAACACTGCTCCGTCTTTTCCTTGCCTTTATTATGTTATGTATATTTGTAATAATAAAATTCCATAGTCAAGAATACACTCGAAATTCTAACTGTATGTTATTTTCATTTTTAATGGCGACGTTCTCGTATTTGAAAGTACGTGGAATTAAATCCACAGCCCCGTAGTCAAGTTGTTTTTCCCGCCTTTTCTACACGTACAGTTTTAGAATGTTCTCGAAATATTTAAAGCGAACTGGATTGGCTGACGTCATTTCTTGGAAGCTCCACCTTTCCAGAGGCTATAAAAGGACTCGCAAAAGGAATTTGGGGGCTTTTTCTTAAATGTCACGATGCAGTAAACTTCATGCAAAAAGTTATTAGTAATTCTTTTTTATTACTCCGGAGATCAGATTTTTGTAATTGCTGTTTCCCTTGAAATATAATAAATGAATCCTGTTTTTTAAACTTATCGTCTGATAATTTAAGCTACGACTACATCTATGATTCTTCAACAATCTATTTATTCTGGACAAAAGCTGCTACATCACACACACACACACACATACACACACACACATATATATATATATATCGTTATATATATAATATAACGATTTAGATGTTGTTGATGTCGAGATGCATAAAGAAGTTATTGCAGTAATGACCAACTTATATAGTTCTTTCTATTTTTGAGAAGCACACTGAAATACCAAGCTTAACGGGAGCAATCTGCATGTCTGTTGTGGAATAAAATATACATTTTTAAGATGTAAGATGAGAAATGGCAAAAAAAAATATGGTTAAAATAATAAACAGAGAACGAATGCGGTATGTCTAAAATGATAGTTTTCTTCAGAATGAATTCGTTTCGTTTCACATTCCCTGAAGCGCTATGAAAATACCTGCGTCATGAGCGTTATTTAAGACTCATAAGACAGGGGTTAATTTTAAAATGACACAATTTAGAGAGATTTACTTTAAGCTTTTACTATTTTTAAGATGGAAAGAGGCAAAAACAGAATTTAGAAAGGAAAGTTGAGGAAATATTGAAAATTAAATTTTCTGTTTTATTTTAATTGATTTTAATCTTACACACATATATCGTTTTCTTGATTATTGAAATTTCTACAATCCAACTGGCAGGATAAGATCTCGAGATCAAAGAAACTATTTACTTGAAATACATTGCTTACTTAAATATTTTATGACAAACTCCATTAATTTCTTATTAATATTGTTACGGATTTCGTATTTAAATAGCTAATGTTAGTTGAATCATAAATTAAATTGTTTTATTCCTCGTGCAGTGCAACGCGTGACGAATATTAAAAGAAAGCTAAGCCGGAAAATTAAAAATACAAGAGCACGTGCATTTAACATTTAATAAATAAATATCTGTTTTTGATTTCGAGAAAGTGCTAGAAAAATCTCGCGCATTTAGAAAGCTTATATAAGCGGAATGAAAAAACCTCTCAATTCGTAGTTGTTGGTAACTAGTTAGTTTGTTGTTGTTTTAAATGTTTGTTTAGAAAATTGCTCTTGTTGACTGTAGCGAATTCGCGGATTAGCTTTCTCTAGCTGTTTTGAATTAAGTTCTCTTGAACATTTGAGTAGTTAAAAGATAACTACTGTGAGATATTGTAATACTGAACGAATATCTGAGGAAACGTAAGCATATTTGTTGTGATAATAATAAACTTTGTTCATTTTTCATCGGACTTGCGTATTCATTTCGTAATGAAGCCGTACGCACGTAAGAATATGATTAGCTCAGTTCTTGATGATAAACATATCGTTTGAAAACAATATACAGAAAGGCAAAAATTTCAGAAAGATTATCCTGCTAAATATTTCTAAATGCTTATTTTATAGTGCATGATTCTAGTTTAAAAGATGAACTAAATAATCAGGCATTCCGATTGAGATGCGTTTGATCACGTTACACATGTTAACAACAAAATACTAGAAATTTCAACAGCATATGATAAACATTAAAAAGAACGTTAATAAATGAGATATTTTAACAATTGATTTAACCGACAAAAGAATGAAAGAAATGAAAAGGATATGGCCTCAATTGTAAAATTTCTTAACATGACATCATTTAAAATTTTTAAATACACTGTCAAACAATTATTAAAGAGATCTACACATAATACATTTTCAAATTTGTATTTTCAAAAAATATCTTTTTAGACTGAAAGTCTATAGTTTAAATGTTTTGGTTCTGAAATGCGTTTTGGAAGTCCTAATATCAACATTTCTTTATCAGGTGATAATTTTTTAAGACGTGCATTTTCCACCAATTCAGCCACTTTTGTTTGCTACGAACGTGTTTTTGTTTTCTAAAACATTTTTAGCAAAACAAGCTATCAAAAGCCGCGTCCAAATGATGCGGCAGTCCGTATGAGGACAGGATGGCGTTTGCGGTGCAAAATTCGACGACTGAGAAGCAGCGAGGTGTTATCCGATTTCTGATAGCGGAAGGTGAGAAACTCGTAGCTATTCATCGCCGGATGGTGACAGTTTACGGGGGAAATTTTCTCTGACAAGTGTCAGAAAATAGAGTGCCCGTTTTCGTGCAGGCCGTGAGAGTGTGGGTGATGACCTAAAACCAGGCCAGGTAAACATTGTCATCACAAGCGATCTCATCGACAAAGTGGACGACCTAGTGAGAAGCGATCGGCGAGTCACATTGTGAATGTTGGCGGTGAAGGTGGATGTCAGCTATGGAACCGTATGGACAATTGTTCACAACAGGTTGCAATATCGGAAGGTGTGTGCCACTTGGGTTCCGAAGCAACTCAGTGACCAGCAAAAGACTGCCGTATGGGGCTAGCACTGCAATATCTGTTTCGGTATCAGGAAGACCCCGCTTTCATGGAGCGGATCATCACAGGTGATGAGACATGGTGTCATCACTACGAGCCAGCGACAAAGCGGTACAGCATGCGTCGTCACCTCCCTCTAAGAAGTTCAAAGCCGTGCCGTAAGCGGACAAGGTGTTGCTCGCCGTCTTTATCGGCGTTCAAGGTCTACTACTTGTGGAATTCCTGGATCACAGAAAAACCATTAACTCCGATGTGTACTGTGAGACACTCCGACGCCTACGCAGGTCCATCAAGAACAAAAGACCGGGTTTGCTCACGGACGGTGTGGTTCTTCTCCATGATACCGCGCGTCCACAAGTCTCCAGATTCACACACATGGAACTGGCCAAGTTCAAGTAGGAGACGTTGGACCATCCGCCCTACAGACCGGATATGTCGCCCTGCGATTTCCATGAGTTTGGTCCACCGAAGAAACACCTGAAAGGGATGCGCTTCAACTCGGACGACGTAGTCAAGGACGCTGTGAAGGACTGGGTCTCGTCACGGCCACAGGAATTATGTTAGCAAGGAATCTTGGGGCTTGTTCATCAGTGGGATCGTTGTGCTCAGGCCTATGTTGTATATTTTGAATAAAGTCTACATTTGTACCCACCGTGTCGTTTCGTACCTTTTCATTTGATCACCCTTACTTTATGGCTTTATATATATATATATATATTAATATATAAAGCCATAAGTAGAAATTTAGAACTAACTTTTCATAATGTACACAAATTGAAATTCATAATTAATAAATTTCAGGTAATCCTATAAATGCAATAAAGAACTGAAAAATATTAAAAACAAAACGTTTCAAACAAGCAATACCCAACTTAAAAAATAATGAAATTTAAAGAAAAACGAGCATAACAGAAGAGGAATTCAATCAACTTTAATGTCACCTCGTCCGGAGGAGGAACATTGAAATGAATTAAAATCTCTCTTCCACAAAAATCCTTGCTTTTCTATACACAGAATTAGCCAATGAACCATTTCAATATATTTTATTTATAATAGTTCACCCTAAAATGCTGGCCCTTCCTCAAAGCAAGGAAAAAGCAAAGTAAACTCTAATTAGAATTTTGCACCTTCAATAAAGAGAATTCTATTTAATGAATTGAAAACATGTATTACAATTAAAATACTATGAAATTGTTTATCGGCTAATTCTGTATACAGAAAAGCAA